TAGTTGAACTGTGGACCATGTTATATAGTCAATTTTTATACTATAGACCATTTTATATAGTCAATAGTTTTATTATAGACCATGTTATATAGTAATAGTTGAACTGTAGTCCATCTAATATAGACAATAGTTGAACTATAGACCATCTTATAGTCAATAGTTATACTATAGACCATGTTATATAGTCAATAGTTGTACTATAGACCATTTTATATAAGTCAATTGATATACTATAGATCATGTTATATAGTCAATAGTTGTACTATAGACCATTTTAGATAGACAATTGTTATACTATAGACCATGTTATATAGTCAATAGTTATACTATAGACCATGTTATATAGTCAATAGTTATACTATAGACCATGTTATATAGTCAATAGTTGTACTATAGACCATGTTATATAGTCAATAGTTGAACTGTAGACCATGTTATATAGTCAATAGTTGTACTATAGACCATTTTATATAGTCAATTGTTAATACTATAGACCATTTTATATAGTCTATTGACCGTCTGCTCTTTATCCTGGGAATGTTTTTCAGAGTTCATCGTTGCATAGAAACCAAACATAGCTTACCAGACTTGCGAGTCCAAGTTCTTCAGTTCTCTGATTAGTTTGTCATTCTTTTTCACCAAGTCAAAGTTTGCTCTAAGCAAAGAAACATAACAAGTATTAATAGAAAATAATAATAGTGTTAAGATCTTGACATCTTGAGTTAAAGTGACAACATGTTTTATTACCTTTTATCCCATGTGAGCATCCCAAGCTGACTCAGCATGGCTCTGCATATGTAGAATGGCGATGCTGGATCAGTATGCGGCCATGGTTTTTGTTCTTTGGATACCATGCTACAGAGAAGAATGGGTACCAGCATTACTACAGTTACATTTTACAACAACTCCAAGCATCAAAAGTAACGTATCGAATCTGTTATCAGAGATCAAAATGAAATTGAATGTACCCAACCACATACAAGTGTTCCAATAAGGCAACAACCCCGTGTAGAGACAGGGTGGAAAACATTATGTGTCACGAAAAGTAATTAATATGGTACCCCAGGGTGAATTCATGTGGTACACCTTAATCATTTAGATGTTACCCAAAGAAATTTAGAGATGACCACAGAGATATTTCAAAATAACCTCAGGCAATTTATGTAGCACTTTCAATCTTCCTACCTAGTATCTGTCCCGTGTTGTATCACATACTCCTCTTCGTTATCGCTCTGTTTCAACAAAGTAGCTTTCACCGATTCCTCCATGAGATGAGTGATCTCCTCAGGCGGTGGAGCCGGAATATTCAGTGGTCTACCCGGCCTTTGTAAACATTCATTACTCGTGTGTCCAATATACTTTAAAAGCTGTAAAAAACAAGCCATGCATGGCACAGTCCCTGTTAGTTATTAAATTTAAGAAATATAGTTTTGTTTATAGTAATATAGCTGGAATATAACCATGTCAGGAATATGTTTTTTTAACATTAAAATGATTGACATTTGTATCTGATCATCAAACAAGTAGTTGTCCATATTTAGAGATATTGCTCTGGAACAGCATTCAAAATCAGCCATTTTGAATACATGTATATATATCACATGATGTATAACGAATATATAAAATTTGAATATAATCAGTCAAAGCATTTAAGAATAGGCTCTATAAGCCCAATCATTAAAACAAAATGGCCGCCAGTCAGCCATTGTGAATCCAATCTGAAAAAAAAAATGCCGTGCATCAGGAACCCGTAATGTCTAATGTATGTACCAAGTTTGAACGAAATCCATCCATAAATGCCAGAAATGCTTGATATTTGATGATTTTTTAGCACAAAAATGACCACCATTCGGCCATTTTGAATAGGATTGTCAAACCAATGTAACTGTCTATCTATGACATGATGTATAATGAATATTTAAAATTTGAACATAATCAGTGAAAGCAAGTCAGAGATGGCCAGAGAACCACATTCATAAATACAAAATGGCCACCAGTCGGCCATTTTGAATCTTATCTGAAAAACAAAATTATTTGCATCAAGGTCCCATAATGTCTAATGTATATACCGAGTTTGAACAAAATCCATCTGTAAACAGTCGAGAAATGGTTGATTTTTAGGATTTTTTAGCACAAAAATGGCCGCCATTCGGCCATCTTGAATCAGATCGTAAAACAAAATGATGTGCATCAAGGTCCTATAATGTCTAACGTATATACCAAGTTTGAACAAAATCCATCTGTAAACAGCCGAGAAATACTTGATTTTGATGATTTTGAGCACAAAAATGGCCACCATTCGGCCATCTTGAATCAGATCGTGAAACAAATTGACGTGCATATGTATAATATCATGTATGATGTATGTGTGAAGTTTGATTGTGATTGGTCCAGGCATTTCTAAGATACAGGTCCGGACGCACGCACGGAGGTCAAAACATAAGTCCCTGTTTTCGAACTGCGTCCGAATGGGGACTAAAAAATGACACCATATAATGATTAAAAAACATGTCTGACATTTCTTACTACCCTTACTAAAAATGGCTGTAATGTTACTGGGTAATTAAGAAATATTAAAGGTGCTATAGCCAAAATATCTCATTTTGGTATTCTACTACAAGAATGCACCTTGTATTTTATTAGACATGGTTTTCACAAATTGTTTAGATTAAATCACCTATGATTAAATCACAGCTAGTACAGTATGCGAAATTAAGCTTCAAGATGCAAAGTACCTCATTCAGCACATCCTCAGTCTCTTCAGCCTCTTCCCAGGAAGGGAGTTTACTTCTCTGTTTAACTAACAACTGATGTTGTGATCTTTGGTTATTGGCATCTTCCTCAGACGAGGAGTCGGCATTGTTGTTTGTATTACAATTACTCAGATAATCTATGCAGGAAAACAAATAAGAACGATATATGCAAATATATGTAAATACCAAGACACAAAGAAAGTAACTGGATTTAGGTTTAAAGGGTGGTGTGGTTGGTGCACAGTTTTTGTTCGTAAAATAAATAAAACACTGTAATTTACATGTTTTGAATGAAATCTGTTCTAAACATGACGGCCATGAAAAGAACCCTCCCCATTAGTTAAATAGTAAATAAAGCTGAAATGAGTCAGCCATTTTGAATTAGAACATGAAACAGATTACATGATGTATAATTTAGTTGTAAATTTTGACTGCAGCTAGTAAATGATGTACAAATGTTAGAAACATGTCTCCAGAGCAGCATTTGCATTTGGCCATTTGAATCCGATCTGAAAAAACATTATGGCCCTGTTATATATATATATATGTTCAATGCATATACCAAAATGAGCAATAGTTAGCCATGTACAACCAGTCAGCCATTTTGAATTTAGCAAATGAGATGACATGATTCAAGGTACCATTATTTTTAATGTATGTACTAAGTTTGAACAAAATCTATCTATAGAAGACAGAGATCTGGTTCTGAAAATGCTTGGTTTTACTGAATTTTTGCCATGGCCGCCATTTGGCCATCTCGATTTTTATCATCAAACGAATATATGTGCGTATTTGCGACATGATGTGTCTATGAAGTTTGAGTGTGATTAGTCAAGGCCTGTCAGAGATAAAGCTCTGGAACAGCAGTTGTTTTAAACAAATGGCTGCACCAGTCGACCATTTTGAATCTGATCTGCACCAAGTTTGAACAAAATCCATACATGACTGAGATTCAGCTCCAAAATTACAGAAATGCTAAATTTTGATGAATTTTAAGTATAAAAATTGTGTATGGCCATCATGAATTAGATCAAGAAATGAATAGCCATGGATATGTATCCTAAAATTGTGAAGTTTTAAAGTGATCAGCTGACAAGAAGTCGAAATTATCACTTTTTACTAAAAATGACAAAAATATTCATGAAAATTAGAGAATTAAAGATATCATCACGAAATGAACAAATCTGAGAGAGGTCCACCCAAGGTACATACATACCAAGTATCAAAGCATTTGGGCTGGTGGTTTTTGAAGAAGTCGAAAATAGCATTTTTGACCAAAAATTACAAAAATATTCGCTATACCGGTAAATAAGAGAATTGAACATATCTACACAAAATGAACAAATCTGAGAGAGAACCACCCAAGGTACCTTCCTAGAAAGTTTCACGGCTATACAGTTTGTGGTTTTTAAGAAGAAGTCAAAAATGTAAAGTTGACGACGGCTACTGACAATCAGTAATACTTCGTCGACAGCGGAGCTAAAAATGTTTATAATTGAAGAATGACACCAGAATTGATCACAACATAAAGTGATAATTTGGGATACAAGCACACAGGCCTTAATTATACAGTGTTCACTCGTAAAGCGTCTGGACCCTCTCAGAGGTGTCCAGCAACTTACAAGACACAAATCAAAACATAAATTAATGTGTATATCACACAGTATGATTCATAAACATAAAGCGGAACTAAACAGATACACGGAAACATATTTACAAGTCAACATTTCAAACTATATGTAAACTATTTGAAAACTGAATATACATGAGTATTTGATTTTATTATTTACCAGCAATATATATATATATATATATATATATATAATATATAGGATAAATGAACAATTCACCATTGTTTAATGTATGAAATCGACAACATGTGATGATGTTTAATAATTGTCTCATTTCTAAATCTGTTTGCCATTATTTTTATTGCACACTGTAATTCACAACATTAAAAAAAAAAACGACTCCATGGCAACAGATAAATTGACCACAACATCTGTGGCATGCAAACAATGATGTAATTGTTATCTGAGTTTTTTTTGTGTGCCAGGTGACAGTTCTGGACATTGAGTGTCACTGTTGTCTCTCCTGACTTTTTTTTTTGTAAGTGCAAATTGCAGAAACTAGTGCTGACACATAGTGCAATTTTGCCACAGAAGTTACATTCATGTTTGGGACTACATGACAAGGCTGTGTGTGGCCATCTCTCTGTCAATTGGCAATTTTAATGCACTATCCTGGCGTCAACCAGGGTCTTCTTACCTGAGTTTGAAGACATTGCACAATGTGGCGGTCCATACAATATGGCAGAGTCCCAAACGAATTTACCGGATAGCGCTCTGACGATAACTCTGGACTGTGTCTTAGCTGTGGTTAGTCCTGCTGTTATTCCTCCTCCGGGCACCTCCAACTAGTATGCGTGTCAGGGGATAAACAAAAAATATATTTTCAATTAGTGGGTCAAATGTTTATTTGTTCATATCAGCTATCCATGGAGGCTTGCATGCAGCAAATAAACTATTAAATGAATGTTTGAACTCAGCATTGTTATGCATATTAATGTAGAGGGCGCTGTATACTTACCCAGCCAAGATTTTAACATATAAATGTATCAGCATGAATCATTTACATTGAACATCTACACATTCGGAAAGACAAGAGATCAGAGGAAAGCTACCATAGATGGTGCTGTACACATCTGCAGGAATTTCTAGATGCGACATTGATCACAAACCTTTTACACTAAAGAACAGGACATTACACACACAAAAAAACAGTAGAAAGTTAACATAGAGGGCACTGTACACTTACCTCAGCAGGGATTTCTACATAAGACATCAAACACGAATCATTTACAATAAAGAACTGAACGTTAGAACAAGAGAAAAGATCGGTAGATAGTTCATCTACATCAATGGTGGCATCATCACTGTATTCACTAATTAGCGAGTTGATTCTTGCCGGCCCACATCCCAAAGGATAATGACCAAGATGGTTCACAAGATATCCCATGACCTGAATGAGAGAAAAAGAAGTCAGATTTATTGCAGTTTGGTCACTTCACAACGTTTTTTCATTTTTTCATCTTGCGCTTTATATACTCCTGACAGCATGGGTTCGTGGGAGAGTATGTTTACATCAAGCTCTTAGAACCACGCGATACAGACGATGCCATCGAGTAGGATTCCATATAATACTACATATAGCCCAACAAATTTCCAGTACTTACACGCTAAATCATCATTATCTAATTTTTTAAAGTAACTTCAAAACAACCAGACAGAGTAAACAAGGTAAATATAGATGAAGAAGTTGACAATCTCTAACAACCAATGTTGAATTACACTACGGTGATTTTTAAATTTATAATTACTCACCGTCTTGGCAGCCAATCGTATCACATCCGGAGAACGTCGTTGAAAATCATCAATAAATGGAGCCATAAGATCTTCTGTGAAAAAAATAAATAAATGAGAAGTCAGGTTTTCTCGAAGTGCTAATTAAAAGTGTAATCACATCAGGAGTTACTATATGGGGAGGGCACCATTTTAAATTCACCACAATCATATGAAATAAACAGTTTTTGAAACTTGTTTCACAGCCAAACGATCTGTTGGAATTAAGCCAATCATTAACAAAATTAAACCACATTCAGCGTTTTTGTGTGTAGTACAGAAAGAACATAGAACACTTGCCTGTGGTATTAGAAACGAAAAACTGTCATCCAACATTACAGTTGAGTGAATAAATTTAGTTTCACTATAGTGGTCCCCATATTGTCAATACCGATAAATTAATCACATTTCTTGTATTATCACTTGACAGCCAACTGCTAATTACAATACCAACAAATTTGGTTATCTTATGTGTTTCCACCTGGACTATAACGATCAATCATAACTATGATTGCCGGATCATAATTCTATAAAACAAAATAAATGTTGACTTCTGTCGCAAGAGGGCACCATATAAAACAAGAATGGATATTTCATAACTTCATGGTCATGAGGAAAAGAAAGTGAGGGCTGAGATTAAGTTCATCATCACCTTCTAAAAAGTCTTCCATGGTATCAGTTTGGACAGGTGTCCTGGGAGAATTTGGTCCGCTGTTATAATAACTTTCTCGGATATTGTCAATATAGAGGTGTGGATCGTAGTCATTTGAAGCAAAGTCAGAGAAATTGACAGGAACATGTTTCTGTTGTGAGTTAGCACCCTGCACAGCTGCTTGAAGAACCTAGAACAAAAATACAAACACAGACTTTATAGAGACCATTAAAAAAATTTGAAGAATTCTGAACAAGAGATTATGTTCTGATGCAGACCATTTTTGAGATTCGTCAAAAATCATGAGTCATGAATGACAACGTCCTCATGTTCTGATTGGCAATGCAGCACATAAAAACTATTTTGCCAAATTCATTATTTTCCAAAAAACTTCTACCGTTCAAATATTCCCGTATTTTTTTACATGACAAAAATTGTTTTTGCTGTTTGTAAGTACTGGTACACATTTTTTTAGGTTCTGAGCAGTAAAATATTGAAAACAACACATTTGATGACGAGGTTTCATGACTACAAGACACATTTTCTGCATTTTGAAACGGGTTGTTGAACTGAATGTGGCCCAAATAAAAAAAGTGGGAGCGGGCATTTAACCGTAAGTGAGTGCTAACATGGTCATATGCAGTATGCAAAATATCAAATTAATATGCAGATTTGGAAAAGAAATGCAGATTCAGTTAAACTGTATATTAAATACCAATGGACCAAGAAAAAGAGTTTTTGAGATAATGTTGTCAACACAAGAAAAGAAGGAAGGAAGGACAGTCTGTACACAATGGGAGAATGACACCGTGTGACTCACCCAAGTTACACAACCTAAAACCATTATGGTTTTGAAACTCCCCCAGGAACATGCTAATCTATGAAGTACAAAATGCTCTATTCTCAAAATTACCATGGCAACAAATGTTGGGGGGTCAAAAATGACAGGTGTTTAATTGTCCATATATAACACAAAAATCAAAAGCTACAAACAAAATACATCTGATAATACATCTATTCCATTTGAAAGTATTATTAACCCTAACCCTACCAGCCTATGTACTTTCATAATGACTTGACCAGATAAAGGTTAAAGATAACCTGTACAGGCACTGAGACTAGTGACACTCAACAAGACTAGTGTAAGCTATAATGTTTTAATCTGGTACAGATTGAAAGTACAGACGCGCATCTAAATCAGTTCAGTCCCAGTAAAAAATTGCATCATGGTATGTTCCCCTTAAAAAAAACAAAAAAAAAAACATCCTTTTTATGAATGGTCAAACAGTTTCAGAAACTCTAGTAGCTAATTTTCAACTCACCAGTGCAATTCAGTCAACATAAATAACATAAGCTGTTCTAATAGAGAATGTACATTATATGAGATCAATGCATGTGAGTTAATGTTAAGTGACGTAAGATTACTGACCTTAAATACCACATTAAGTAAAGGTTTGTTATCTTTATCAGATCTCCTCTCTACAGGTTCACCGAGTACTTTGATTGGTAATGACATACACCACTCCAATAAACAAAATAGAAGCGATACCATTAACTGCAAGAAACATGACAACACTGTATTTAGTCGGCAGACGTATACGTATTGATTTAACTAAAATACTGAATCCATGAGTACACATACTGCACTTATCTGAAAGATCACCCACCACAATAGCTCGCCCATGTGTCCAAAAAAAACATTGTTTTTTCAAGCAGTATTGTTCGATGGTCCTGAGACCACAAACATATTTCTTTCGTGATCATGAGTTTCATGATCATGCAAAAAAAAAAATTGAAAATTCATTCATTTTTTTCCACAAAACAAATAAAGTAGTCCCATCTTTGCTAGTCAAGGTATATTGTATGTCACATTTTTTTTCTAAATTCGCATGACCATAATAATTTCAGTGCTATGTTGAATAAAAAGTTTTGAACGCTGAGTTATTATAAAACAATGATTCTTTTTTCAAAAATTAATCCGGTGCTCCAATTTTTCATGTTGAAGATAAAACTACTGTATGAGAAAGCCAGTCTGTGATGACGCCATGAACGTGAAAACAGCTGATTGTAGACTGGATGGTGTTTTGGTTCTGGCAATCTCCCAAAATATGACCAATTGTTAAAAACATTACCAAGGGTAATTTTTCACATAAATATTTCTACAAAATCACTCAATATACCTTTTTATCATCTTCAATGTGAGAGGCTTCTGTACTTGGCAACAGACTTAAGATTGTCAAAGCAACAACCTATAGTAAAAAAAAAATTCCAGAGTACTTAACAAATATCTTTATTTAAACAGCCATCTTGTGTAACAGCTAAAGTTAGTGTGTAATGCAACTACCTCGTAGCATATTTTTGAAATCCTGTCTATTTCAATATTGGTTTTATTTATCAACAATAGGGGAATTCAACATATGGGTCAGTTTTTAAAGTAAAGCTTCAGGTACGTAAAGAACTGAATAAATTCCATCCATGATAAACTGAAATCTAGTGTCACAAAGCTTCGATCTATGTGCATATTTACTGCAACAAATCTTCAATATCTGTGACATAGTGTATAATTTAAGTGTGAATGTTGAATGCAATCTGCCACAGCATGTCACAGATTGAAACAAAATGACAACCAGATATCCATTTTGAATTTGATCAGAAGTTCAAAATAACAAGCATCAAGGTTTATTGTGTTCAGTGCATATGCAAAGTTTGAAAATTCAGAAATGTTTGATTTTGACGCATTTTTAATGCCCACTATTCGACCATCTTGAATTGGATCATGAAGCGAATATATGTATGTCAATATGTATGATGTATGCATGAAGATTGAACGTGATCAGTCAAGAAATGACGATATGCACATAAAACGAAATTGCTTTTTCAGATTTCATCCAAATGAGGAGATAACCAATTATGATTTGAAGAATAGATTAGATTAAAAAGACATGTAATATATGCCAATTTTAAACAACAAGACCTGGTTACATAGACATGTATAGACATGAATACTTACATATACTAAACACACAACAGATGTACACTATATAACGCCTCACCTCAATGATTTTCTTCGGCATTTCTGGCTGATGTCGTCTAAGTTTATCTGCTTGATCACAAAGAAACAACAACATATCTGATGCTACCTGTGCTACAGCTTTATTGGAAAACTGAAAATAAAAAAAATGCAAACAAAGTTAAAAAAAATTCTTTAATGCCAAACTATATTAATTATTAGCCTAATATTAAAAATTATTTTATATTATTGTATGGTTTATTTGATACAGAATCACACTTTTATTGTTAGTAGATGGGTGATGTTTTTTCTTTTAATAATTTAGTTTTGTTTTAGTCAACCATTGTTTTTAACAGTACACCGTATTACACAGTAAGTGTGTTTGTGCTCTCACATTTAACAGTGATTTTCTTTGAACATTGCCACTTTCTTCAGCAAGTTTAATCTCCTAGGGAGGAAAGAAAATACAAACATCAAACTTTTCTTTGATCCATTCGTTGACTGCTGAATAGAGAATCTGAATGGAATGGAATGGAATGGACGTTGAAATGTGTCGTCTTAAAAATGCTTCACTTTAATTTCAGATTTTTAGAACAAGACAAACAGAATTTAAACATTGAGAATGCAACAGTTTGAATATAGAAGTTGTCAAGTGTGGTAAAATGTTTGTTGATATACTAGTCAGTTGATTGTAAGTCAAAAACTTTTGAGTCATCAAAACCATTGGGACACATAAATAACGTGCAGGTTGAGTTAAAAGTCTGAAAGAAATTAAGTGCTAAGATGGTAAATATGAATTAATATTATTTTGATAAAACATTAGACTCCAAGTACAATACATCAAAATGAATGGTTATCGCTAAAAAACAAAATAATCTGTTTGTAAATTTGAATTTAAATTTTAAAAAAATCTGTTCTTAATTTTTATTTTCCAATAAAAATGTTGTCCTACCTTAATGGTTGCCAACAACACATTAATAGCTTCCCTAAGCTTGCTATGGTAGGTTCCGTGTAACACTTCTTCATATATGAACACTCCGAGTGCACTCAATGCAACACAGCGGGCTTCAAAATGTAATTCTTTTCTGGCGGCTTTCAAGAGGATGGTTATTATGTGGTCCTGTAATAAGGACAAAAAATA